TAGCAAGATAGCGATAGCTCAAAGACTCAGTTAATTTGAATAGAATGACACCTTGAGGAACATATTGTTTAACCACTGCACATAGTGTGGACTCACATATTTGAGCACTAAAGTCACTTTAATTACTAACAGGTTTAATCCAAAACTGTGTAGATCTGAGAATAATGAACATCCAGATAGGTCAAAAATCATTGTCCTGGAACATCTAAAAACCTATTGGGAAGGGAAGAACATGAGGAGACAATGTAAGCATCAACATTTAATCTTGCAATTGCAAAGAGTACAGTCCTGATGGTGTAATTTTACATGGACTACCACCTCGGCTGTTCCCAGTATCGTTAGGGATAGTGATGGGCTGAATACCCCCCTGTTCAACAGCGAACTTCGAACATAATGCAAGTCTATGGGACTCGAACTTGTAAATCAAAAGTGCCCATTTGAAGGCTTATATGCAAGTTATTGGCCATAAAAGTGGTATGATGACTTGGTATGCCAGACAGGCCAAACTGAATTGTGAATAGCCTTAGACCATGCATTCTGCAGACAACGGTCCTCATGGATGAGGAAACATGCTCTTTGGGAGCCCTCATGCGCTCTGGAGGATGAGAATTCTACCCAGCAAAAAGAGTAGGTTAACCCGCAAGTATTGGTGGTGCAGTTCGAGGCTACACTGAACAAGGCTTTGGATAAGGTCTCGAAGCAGATTATATTGCAAATGACTAAGGCAATCCAGGACATTGGCAAGCGTACTTCGGCCCTGGAGTTATGCTACAACAATAATTTTGTACTGTCATCTATTGGCACAAGCAAGAAATCTAGCACCTGCAGTCAGCCAACCTCCCACTGCTGATGCAACTAAGGGATTAAAAAAACTGTGACCACAGGCCCAACTTTAGGCTATGCCAGAACAAATGGTGGACTTACAATCAACAGTGACTGCTCTATTCCAGGAGCAAGCACTAGATGTACTCATAGATTGACCCAAATTTGATAGAATCCATTAAGCTGTTTCCAGAAGGGCCCCAGAGAGTCCCCCACAAGACAGATAATTCGTCTACACTATTATCACACCAAGGAGTGTCTTTTAACAAGTGGCCAGTGACTGTCTATCCCTGACGTTTTAAAGCTATACCTGCAATTTACTTACTGTTTGTTCATGGACCTATCTCCAGAGACCAATAAAAGGTGGAGGGAGTTTAAACCTATTGTGCAAATTTTGCAGTCTAGCTACATTCGTTATTGATGGAAATTTCGAGCTTCACTTCGAGGAGAGGTCTTACTCCCTTACTAGAGTTGCAGAGGCCAGGAGATGCTAGTAGACTTTGCAAATGCTGCAGATAATTCATCCCCAGAGACTGGCCACCCTTCTTTGCCACAGCAGAGGCAATCGTTAGGCTTCTGATCCCCTTGCAGGTCTTGGACAGGATCTGGCACAAGCTCCAAACTGAAATCGGAATCCCCATTGGTCCTGCTATTTGTTAGGTCCTGACTGGTGGCCAATTAAGCAGAGTTCTGCTGCATATCCCTTTCACTTTTTGGTTGAACTAAGGCTTTTTCTGTATACCCTGTTTTTCTTCTTCCCTACCTATTTCTGTCCTACTTTCTCCAAGTTCCTGCTTCCTCCCCTCCTTCCTTAACCTATTTCTTTTAACCACTTCACCCAGGTGGACATCATATGATGTTCTGGGCTTTCAGTGGTTATACTGGGTGCACCAGTAGGCATCATCCCAGGATCAAAATTTACAGCAGCCGATGCCCTTTAAAGCAGGAGTGATTTACAGTACAGCCACTCAATCACTTCAGCAGGCTGCCTTCAGATCAGATAGGAGAGCCCAGGACCACTCTGACCAGCAGCATCAGCTGTATTACACAGACAGAGTAGTTCCTCCCTTTCTTTGACCCCCAGAAACCGGAAGGGGCAAGGACTTCGTCATTTCTGGCTTTAGTTCTTTGTTTACCTGGCCAGCAGCCAATCAGCCAGTCAGACCAATCTGTGTCAGAATGGCTGCATTGGAGGCTTGAGATCTCATCATAAAGAGGACCTGTCATGGCCAATGCTATCACAAGGGAAGTTGTTCATTCCTTGTGATAGCAATAAAGTTGATCAAAAAAATTAAAGGGACAGTGTAAAAAAAGTTATAAATGAAATAAATATTCATTTTTAAAAAATCAAAGCGCCCCCGTCAAGTGAGGATTTAAGTTAAGTATAAGGAGGGAGTGATACTGCTACTAGAACATTTTTTACCTTAATGAAGGGAATTAATTGAAGTAAAAAATAATTAGGCTTTAGAAACCACTTTAAGAAGAAGACCTATCAAGAAGTATGTGAGTTGCGTCCACAAATCCAGCTTTCACTGGATCAGGGACGTCTCAAAAGGTAAACTGAGTGGACTTTTTGATTTTAGTTCAATTACATTTTAGGTTACAGATACTCATTGCTTCCTAGCAACAGATACACACTAAAGAGACACACTCTTTTTTATTCAGGGAAAGTCAATGGAAATTACTGACAACATCAGAGGGTAAAGCAGAATCATTTGTCATGACATATGGCAATGGAAGGTTGGATTAGTGGCAGCTGAAAAAAGTCTTACATGCATTCCTGTGAGTTGTGCATATTGGTGTTATCATACTCTTTATTGGAATACCTTTTAAGAGTTTATATATTATTCATTGCAACCATTTGTAGACATCAATGGCTTTTACATTTACTCTAACAGCACTGAATATAATCATTTTCACTGTTTAGAGACAAAAGCCCACAAACCAAATGATAAATTGTACAATGTAAGGCTGGTATTAGAGGACGGCTTTCAAGGCACTGCAATGGACAATTAGAAACATGTTTTTGTTTGCTTTTAGCAGTACGTTGGCAGCATTGTCTCTGGGCCTACCAAATCAAAAGGACAGACATTCTTCCTACCCATGTGGATGAACCATGGGCCTTGCCATGTAAATGTACAGCACTGTGCCATGTTTGTGGTAGGTCCTAGTACTGTGACTGTGAAATAGGAAAAACTGGAAATAATGATATAAGATTATAAACTGGTACTTATTGCATTTATCTACTGGTATACCTTATAAATTTAATAGACAGTGCAACACACACATGCTGTGCAATAATTATATTACCTTTTCTTGAAATTGTACAAAACATGCAGGTTGGTGAACCTAGGTAAATGTGCAATACAAAATGGTATATATATGGCTGTTTCAAAGACAGGTAATGTGAGATTTAAGTAAATACAGTAATCGTTAATTAAATTATGGTCCTGATGTTTTAAAGCTTATGAGTTGCATAGATCATACGTGGACAACCAAATTGTATCCTCACTGTTTTTACTATGCACCCTAGATGTGTGCAGACAAGCTTTCACCACCTATGCAGTAGTGTTCTTAAAGGGTAAGGAAACCTTTGAACAGCATTTTCCAGTAGGTTTCTACCACCTTTCCTATTCTTTTATTGTGCTGTATCCTGCCCGTTTCTCAGCCATGCACTGGTCATACAAAAGTCTATGTGATTATACTATGCACTCATAGGCAGCCTAAAAAGTAGAGGGTCCAGCTACAGCAGGGGTAGGCAACATCTGAGAGGTGGAGATCTACCTGAACAACATGGAAGAGATCACTGGGGTTCAAGCCATTTAAAGAAAAAAAAATAATAATTAGCAAAGGCCTAACTAAATAGCAAGGAAAATGTTTAAAAATAAAAAAAAAACAAACATCACTGTAAAAATACAAACTTAGCCTACCTTAAAAATGGCAGTGTCAGTCAGTAGGGCAGAATGGTGTCAGTAGAGCAGTGGATGGTGTCAGTCAGCAGGACAGTGGATGGTGTCAGTAGGGCAGAGGTTGGTGTCAGTCAATAGATCAGTGGATGGTGCCAGTAGAGCAGTGGATGGTGTCAGTCAGTCAGCAGGGAAGTGGACGTGTCAGTAGGGCAGAGGTTGGTGTCAGTCAGTGTCAGTCAGTAGAGCAGTGGATGGTGTCAGTAGAGCAGTGGACAGTGCCAGTAGGGCACAGGTTGGTGTCAGTAGAGCAGTGGATGGTGTCAGTAGTTTTTATTTTTTCATTTTTATTTTTTAATATTTTTCACAATTTTTTTAGGAACCCTGTTGAAAGAAGGGGCACTTGGGGGAGGGGTTAAGCAGCAAAAAAAGCAGGAACAAGAATGGGAGGGGCAGCGGAGGAGGTGTTTACTAGAACCAATACACTAGATTTTTCTCCGCAGCAGCTGTGCGCTGGTGGGAGGGCAAGGAGGAGATGCTAGCTTTCAGCTGCTCCAGGAGGACAATAAAGAGGATCGTCGAAAGGCAGGTGCTTAGGCCTAGGCTTAGGCAGCTGCCTTAGGGCACCAGGGTAGGGGGGCAGAAAAATCCCAATCCCCAGCCACTTTCTGGGAAATCAGATTTTTAAAATACCTTTCCATAGGAGGGAAGAAGGGGGAAAGGACACTGCTGGTAGGGGGCTATGGGGGAAAGGGGGGACAGAGGACACTGCTGTTGGGGGGCAATGTGAAGGGCGGTAGAGGACACTGCTATGGGGGAGGCCCTGCCCAGAGCTTTGTCCTCTTCCCATCACCTCCCCCCTCAGTAGTGTCCTCTGCACCCCCTTTCCCCCATAGCATTGACTTCTAGTCCCCTTGTCCCCCCTCCCAGTAAGGTCCCCTGCCCCCCTTTCCCCCATATCAGTAACCTATAGCCCCCTACCAGCAGTGTCCTTTCCCCCTTCTTCCCTCCTATGGAAAGGTATTTTAACCAGCTGCCGACCGCAGATAGCCGAATGACGGCTTCACTGCGGCCGGCCAGTTCTGAGTGGACGTCATATGACGTCCTCCCAGAATGCGCTCTCCTGCGCGCCCCAGGGGGCGCGCACCCGGCGATCTTCATGATCGCTGTGTCCTACGGACACAGCTGATCACGTGATGTGGTAAAAGGCCAATCACAGCGGCCTTTTACCACCTGATCAGCGGTGTCCAATGACACGCTGATCAGAAGGAAATGCAAGTGCCGGTTCTCGGCTGCACTTTCCTCACGCTGTCAGATCGTGAGGAAAGTACTGCCGAGAACCGGCAGTTGTCAGAGCGAGGATCGGCACCAATCATCAGGGCCACTGATGATCAGTGCCCTGATGATCGGTGCCCAGCAGTGCCACCCGCAAGTTCCGCCCAGCAGTGCGCCCACTAGCTCCGCCCATCCGTGCCCATAAGTGCACCCACCTGTGCCCAGCAGTGCACCCACCTGTGCCCAGCAGTGCACCCACCTGTGCCACTCTGCAGTGCCACCTACCTGTGCCCAGAAGTGCCACCTACATGTGCCCAGCAGTGCCACCCACCTGTGCCCACCAGTGCCACCCACCTGTGCCCACCCACCAGTGCTGCCCACCAGTGCCACCCACCAGTGCAGCCCAGCAGTGCTGCCAGTCAGTGCCACCAGTCAGTGCCCAGGGGTTGTGCCAGTCAGTGCCGCCAGTCAGTGCCCAGCAGTGATGCCAGTCAGTGCCGTCTATCAGTACCCATCATCAGTGTCACCTATCAGTGCCGCCTATCAGTGCTGCATATTAGTGCCGCCTATCCGTGACCCCTAATTAGTGCTGTCTATCAGTGCCGCCTATCCGTGCCACCTCATTAGTACTGCCTATCAGTGCCCTTTAGTGCTGCCTATCAGTGCCCATCAGTGCCGCCTATCAGTGCCCATCAGTGCTGCCTCATCAACGCACATCAGTGAAGGAGAAAAAATACCTGTTTGAAAAATTTTATAAAAGAAACAAATAAACTTTTTTTTTTTTTTTAATTTTTTGCACTTTTTTTATTTATAGCGCAAAAAGTAAAGCGCCCAGTGGCGATTAAATACCACCAAAAGAAAGCTCTATTTGTGAGAAAAAAATGATCAAAATTTCATATAGGTACAATGTTGCATGACCGCGCAATTGTCAATCAAAGTGCGGCAGCACTGAAAGCTGAAAATTGGCCTGGTAAGGAAGGGGGTATAAGTGCCTGGTAGGCAAGTGGTTAAAAATCCCTCATAGCAGTAACTTCTGCACCCCAACTTTCCACCAAAGCAGTGACTTCTGGCTTTCTGTGCACTGAGGATAACAGCAGCAGAGGAAGCTGGGGGACAAGGGGGGGAGAAGGATCTGTTCGCGGTCTACCTATCACCTTCCCACGGTCGAAAGGAAGACTGTGATCAATGGGTTGCTGACCCCGAGCTAAAGATAAATATTGCAATAGAACACTGGTGGACTTGGTGCTGGAACTTGTAAGTATTCAGCTGAGAAGGGGACGGGGGGTTAGATCAGCACAGTGGAAGTAGAAAAAAGGGTAAGGAAAGTTTATGAAAATGCTATTGCAAACATTCCTTATCCATTAAAATAAAGATGTGATTTTCTCCAATGTCTTTTGATCTTACATGTACGCAAAAGAACAAAGCTTCAGAGCTATGTGAGTATCAAAGTGCACATGCAGAGATACAATTGCATAACTTATTTCGTATACTGCTGCTTGTAAACAGGTTTCCAGTGATAAATACCTACACTTTTTTTTTGCTCTAACACCATGGCATACACTTTTTTGACCTGTTGCTTACCTTGGCATACAGCATTCAACTAATGCTGTTTTCTGTTCTAAGTAGTTGCAATAAGGCATTTACATGTCAACATTTTATCTTCTTGAAGGACCATCATACCATGGTAAATGTGTACATTCCTTATGGCAACTTCTCAGAATAGAAAGCAGCATTAGTTGAATGTTCAATGTGCTCTGCAAGCTTGGACCACTCTACACCCATTGAACATCATTGTACAATTTGTTAAATACTTTATATTCACTATGCATATCAACATGTGATACATGTGTACCATTGAAATTGTATGTTTGTAGAAGAGTGATCCAAACTGTTAGGGGCCCTCAGACACACTGTGTGCTGTTTTCATTAAATAGATTTGAGAATTTATAAATGGTTTAGTGTGGGAACACTATGAAGTTTAATTTATAACGCAGTGAATCTAACAACATTCGCTGCTTGTATGTCTTCCATTTCACCAGTGAATGTTTTGTGAAAGTCACATTTAAGTTAGCTATAGAAGGTTGTTTATTACATTTTCTATTATTACCAAATTAGTTAGCAATTCCACACATTTTTTAATTTGTCTAATGTGTTACAAATAGATCATAACATGTTCCTAATTGAATGACATTTAGTTTGCTAAAGTACTGTGTTTCAAGCAGTTGACATATTTTTAAAAATAAATACTTGTTTTCATTGTTTTTTTCATCCTTTGTTGTATCACAGTGCTTCTGATCTTGTGCAGCCTTTTAGCAGTCACTTGCTGTCTACATGTACATGTACATACATATACATAGGCCACAATTGCAACAATGTAGTTGCTGCTGAGCAGAGAGTGTTATCCAAACTTATTGGACCCGAGCATTAGAAAAAGAGAGCGAGAGACACACCAATAACCATGTGGGTAGTGACAAAGCTACAGGTATGTCCAATGCTTCCACAGCCGAAGCCACAGTTTATATAGCTTCTTAAAGCTTTACTACTCTTTATTGAAAAGAAAGTCTGGTAACAGCCTTTGCACACCTAAAAATGCTGTACTATTTATTTGTGAGAAACCTGCTATTTATTACCACTAATGTCTGATCTGGTCATGCTATACAAGAGTTAAATGTATATTAATGAATATTAATGTGGAATGAAGTGTACCATTATGGACCATTATGGTGATAGTGAAGTAAGCTTAAGATATAAGATCTGAAAAAAAAAGGAAAAGCAGCCAGATCAGAAGAAGGAGTGGTGGTGGCTGATGATAGAATCCCTTGTCTGAGGGGTGGATTTATGGACGTTTGATTTGCCTTTTTCAGTGGTAAGGACCCTATCTTGGGGCCCACTGGGAAACAGAGCTTCTCAGGGACCATGTCTGGACCACAAGTGTGCAAGGCTTTGCAAAATATTCAATATCTCCACTCTATGCTCTAAAGTCTCAAGACAAGAGTAAGGTGCAGGGGCGGACTGACAACTCATGGGGCCCCTGGGCAATAGGGGATCATGGGGCCCATGTGTCCTTGCCCACACTCAAAAAAGCCTATAAAAAAGGTACCAGGGGCATCTCATGGAGCCCCCTACTGACCCCGGGCCCTCAGGCAGTGCCCGAGTGCTTGAATGGTCAGTCCACCCCTGGTAAGGTGTATAAGAAATGGTGGAGGATAATCAATGTTCTGCACTATTTCCCTTAAATTATTATTTGTAAAGGCTGGGACAGGGTTCCCTGGCAGGTGTGAAGACATGTTCCTTTTGGTGTGAGGACTGGTGAGGTGGTCAATTCAGTAGCCATAAGGGGGTACTAGCTTGCACATCAAGTAAGAAAACATAAATTTTAGTTGGATAGCATTCAGTTCACTCATGTTGCCAACAAGTCACTGAGAAGCAAAGAGAAGGTGAGTATGTGCTGCTGCTGTTGTTTCAGGTGGAAAGAGGTTTGGGGAAGTGCAGTTTAGTGAACCTGTTGCTTTGCCAAGCATCCAAGATATCAGACATATTTATCTAACTTAATGTCATAATATAACAAATAAAGAGCTTTGAATTGCAGCAGTTAGAATAAGTAAATGCCAACATACCATAGCAAATCCAGCAATGAGATTCCTGGGCAATGTCTGGATATATACTTTCTGAATAAAACTGTACATAATGTATATGTTTCATAACAGAATGAAAAACATTAATATAGAGCAGTGTTATTCTATACCATATAAATTGGCTTTCATTAACCATACGATTTAATGGCCCATGCAAAATATATATTATGCACACCCAAGTTGTTTGATTATAAGCTTAAAAAAGCTCAGAGAAGTGATTTCCAAGTTCCATCTCTGCAAGCATTAAATATACAATGGCAAACTGCCAGAGAAATGTCTCCTTAGGGAGCTTTTACAGAGCAAGAGCCTTGATAAGCCTATCATTTATAAAGGCTGCAGACCTGCCTGGGGACCAGCAAATAAATGGCAAGGACACCATATGTCTGCTACTCTGCTCATGTAAAAAGCCTTCAGTTGCTTAGTTCAAGAGCCTCTAATAGAACACGAGAACAAAGAATTGTGCTTCAGATGTAGCAATGTGATGTGAATAATGGAAATGTTAGCCTGAAGTGGCTTCTTAAAATCTGATACAATTATACTGTAGTCAGCTGAAGTATATTTTACCAAAATGTGGTGTTTTATGTATGAATGCTGCTGATTTTATGCATTTTAGGTTCTTAAAAGGGAACTGCAGTTTATCATTGGCCTATTCCCATTATGTAACATATTTCTGTGAAAGAATTTCATGCACAGAATCGTGTAGTGGCTTTTTGTTTGTCATTAAGCATGGCCAATATACAAGACTGGTGGCCATTGGCCAACTGCCAAAATTAGGTAAATTAGCCACAACAAGATTCTATCATCTACAATCAGTCTGTACATAGTAAAAGTCTTGTGAGGAGAGACTTCGTATCTGTAAAATACAATCACTATAAGGTGCTTTGATGAATGGCCTGCATAGATAATGATTACACATGGTTGTATTCCATAAATATTGTTAGGGATCAGACTCAACATACAGGCAACAAACATCCAACTCTTAAAACAGGCAGTTTAATAAATCAGATAGGAAAATTACGCATATATTGTACAGGCATTCAGACACAAGCTACATGCATAAATGGTAAAAACAAGCTTCTGCTCAACTGAGCTTACCTAGTCCATGACCTAAACAAGTACCTCATTCCAGGTATCATTCCTCTATGGGGAACAGCAGAATTTCCAGAAACAGTATTCTTTAGCAATGGCAGACTTAGTGCATCAGTTTTTAGCTTTACAGCTCAACATGGCTCCCCGGGCTAGCAAAGAAGGTAATGGCAGACAATATGTAGCTTTGCTATAAAGCGTACAGAGACAGGCGTTCTTCCTATCTCTGTACACCAACTTAGAATAGGTCTTAATTACCTCCAGCCTTGTTATCTACAAACTGGAGGCAATCATTTTTGAATCTGGTGCATTCATTGTGCCACTTTGTAAAAGTACTGAAGTAGTAGTAAGACGTAGCTGAATCTGCTACATGTGCCATTAAAGTTGCCTAAACAGGTGTCAGGAATTCTTTAATTTGGTGCAGGTCATCTTAAAAGGCCATAGTGCCAGAAAAATGTTGTTTACCAAATTTCTGCTCATGTGTGTGATGTAGCTGAGCTCCCTCAGAGCTTTTATGTCTGTTTATCACAACTAATAAATATAACTTTTCCCATAAAAGGGAACCAGGAGTTTCCATTGGCAAAATGTGAAAATTAGGAAGCAGTCACAGTAAGAGTCAAGCCAGGAGTAGTAACCAGATA